GAGGGAGAGAAGGATGTGGCAGAGGAAAAAGGAGTCAACAAATTATTCCTCCTGACAAAAGAAATATTAATTCCCTATTCTTGCCGTATGGAAGAGATGGTATGCATGCTAAATGGCTCCCTGCTCATCAGCTAAAAACTTCCATCTCTAGCCAGGGAGATTGAAAGAAAGGGAAAAATGTGTTCAATAAACCTTTGTGGAATACGTTGCAAAGCCTTTCGTGGGGGGCAGGGGAGGAGAGGGCAATGTAGGTGTGTGGGCAAATCCCGAGGAAAAGCATTATAAAACTTCTTACCTCAGTTGCTGAGTGGCAAGGCACTGTCAAAAAGCAAAATGACTCTCTCACCACAACACCCAGACCCATCAAAAATGCATTTCTTATAGAGAATGGCATAGCCCTTCTCTTTCTAAGGGCATCGTTACACATCACACTTAGCACGTGTTAAAGTTAAATCCTAATAAGCATTAATATGACTTAGAAAGTTTTCTGAGCAATCACACAATAATGTTTACTACAATCTAAATATAGATCCTAGTACTGCACCAAAGTCGGTTCAAAGCTCCGGTGCAATGCAGGGGCCTGGAGCAACCACTGGTACAATGGGAGTTGGTCTCTGCCCCCACACCACACCAAAGCCTTAAGCTAGCAAGGCTGTGGTGTAGTGAGTAGGGGCACCTGACAGCTGTTTTTCAGGCTCCCAGCATCCTTAGCACATCGAGACCTTGAACTGGCAAGGTTTTGGTGCAGGGAAGGGAACCCCCTCAACCTACTGAATTGGAGTCTCCTGCTTTTATTACCTTTATGGAGTGGCCAAATGTTAGCTCAACAAGCGTTAGGTAATAGGACCCGGAGATACTCCTTGCCGCAAAAGGCCTAACTTTACTATGCTAGACTGGCACTTAGCACATGCTTCAGTGATTGAGCACCTGAACAAGATTGTAAGTTAGCATGTGCTAAGTGTAATGTGTAACAAGAACTTAAGACGACAAACCGACCCTCCAGAACACAACAACTGGTTCCTGACAAACCTCTTTATTGTATTTTAATCTGGTTTGTTTAGTCTAGTGAAAAGGTCTACCAGGGGAGGAAATTATGGCCGATAGGGAGAAGAAACAGACAGGAGATGGCTTCCTGTTCTGGCAGAAAGCAGCATACCAAAATCCAGGGGTTGAAATCTGAAGCTATACGGAGTCTGACTAAAATAACCTGCAATCCTCAAGACTGAATCTCTTTCAAAATCACATGTTAGATCAGAAAAGAGTTAAGGGTTTAAGCAGCAAGTTTAGGGCAAGGTTCTTTGACCTGTTTTATGACCTGGAGGGATGTGGGCAGTGGGGTTCTGCAGGGCTCGGTCCTCAGGCCCGCGCTGTTCAACATCTTCATCAACGACTTGGACAAGGGGATAAAAAGCACCCTGTTCAAATTCACAGACGACACTAAGATGTGGGGAGAAATGGGCACGCTAGAAGGGAGGAATAGGCTGCAATCGGACCTAGACAGGTTACAGGGGTGGGTGGATGAGAACAGGATGGGTTTCAACACTGACAAGTGCAAGGTGCTGCACCCGGGGGGGGGTGGGGACCAGCAACATACCTACAGGCTAGGGAACTTCCTTCTCGTCAGTGCAGAGGCAGAAAGGATCTTGGAGTCATTATTGATGCCAAAATGAACATGGGCTGACAGTGTGGGGAAGCGGTCAGGAAGGCCAACCGTACCTTGTCATGCATCCACAGATGCATCTCAAGCAGGTCCAAGGCCCTCTATGCAACACTGGTCAGGCTGCAGTTGGAGTACTGTGTCCAGTTCTGGGAGCCGCACTTCAGGAGGGATGTGGACAACAGTGACAGGGTCCAGAGGAGGGCCACCCACATGATCAAGGGGCAGCACAGCAGGCCTTACGAGGAGAGGTTAAGGGACCTGAACCTGTTCACCTCCACAAGAGAAGGCTGAGCGGGGATCTAGTGGCCGTTTACAAACTAGTCGGGGGGGACCAGCAGGCATTGGGGGAGTCCCTGTTCCCCCAAGCACTACCACGGTCACAAGCTGGCAGAAGGTAGATTCAGGCTAGATATCAGGAGGCGCTACTTCACAGTCAGGGTGGCTAGGATCTGGAACTAACTTCCAAGAGAAGTGGTGTTGGCTCCTACCCTGGGGGTTTTTAAGAGGATGTTGGATGAACACCTCCCTCTG